CCGCTGCTCCCCTCAGCAGTGTACCTTGTCAGTCTGCCTGCTCTGCTCTCTGCTCTGGCTCTGGTGAATTCTCTCACCCTCCCGTGCTTCTAACTGTACCCAGTGCTTGTATAAATAAATAGATAAATATTTTAAAAAAAATTGAGATCTAATTCATATACCATATAATGCTCCTTTTAAAAGCTTAGTATTTAGGGTTTTTTTTTTTACTATATTTTCAGAACTCTGCAACCATCACCACTAATTCTAGAACATTTTTAATTGCCCCCAAAAGTCCTGTGCCCTTTAATAGTTACTTTCCCCAGCTCCAGACAACCACCAATATACTGTCGTCTGAATTTGCCTATTCTGGACATTTCATATGACGGAATCCTGAAAACAGTGCTCATTTGTGTCTGCCTTCTTTCACTTAGCATAATGCTCTCAAGGTTCATCCATGTAACAGGTGTCAGTAGTTCACTCCTTTTCAAGACTGAATAGTATTCCCTTGGTGGGCATTTGAGTTCTTTCTACTTCTAGCTATGGTGACTAATTCTGCTGTGAACATTTATAAATACTACATTTCTAACCACAGAACCAAATCAGAATATTTTAATTCATGTGCATAGTTAGCAGCCATTTTGTAGCAGTAGGAAGATTGAAAGAGATGAATCAGAGAATGAGAAACAAATCCCTGCTTTACAATAATCCCTGCTTAAAGTGTTTAGATGACCAGGGACCCACTCTTTACAGAAAAATTTACATTTACAGCTAAGGAGACTTTTAAAATAGTTTCAGAGCTGTATTTGTCATTTTATTTTTGCAGCACAGTTCATCTAAATCTTTTCTAAATTTAAAGTTGTAATATAATAATTAACCAATCCAAAGTTATTCATGAATATGAAAAGCTAAAGATAACACGTCAGCATTTGGAATAATTTTATCTCTGCTAATCTTCAGGCAATTGCCACATTAATTGGCGTGCATGTATCACAGAATGAGATGTTAAAATACAGCTACTTATTGCAGCTTATTTGCAGTATTTGCTGCCTTGCAGCTCTGTATGAAGAGGATGAATGTTGATGTGATACTCGAATAACTTCTGTCATGAGCCAGGGTGACTGTACGGGGCCGGGAGGTGGCCTTGAAGTGCGTCTGGTACAGCTGTGGAGTGTTTGAAAACAAAAGTAAATTGGTGCGCAGCAATTAGCGATGAAGTGGCTTTTTATGAGTAAAAGCATCATGTCGCCTGTGAACCAAAGCTGAGAAAACTATCAACAGTGATAAGCTGTTAGTCAGCAGTGGGGTTGCATAGCCTGAGGACGGGGCATAAACAGCAGTTTGCAATCTTCAGCATGCATCAGAAACACCTGGAGGTTTTTTAAAACTCTGTTTCTGAGTCCAGCCCCCAGTTTCTGAATCTCCTGTTCTGGAGAGCAGGGTGGTGTGGGCCCAAGAAGTTGATTTCTAGCAAATTCTCAGGTGGTGCTGCTGGTGGTGGTGCAGGGACCACACTTTGAGAACCACTGGCATAAAGTTTAAACGCCAAGTATTTTAATTACCTTTAGATGGGACTGACCTACCTCTGTTATCTTTAAAGATTTAAGATAACACTCCATGGTTAGCTGATTCACATAGTATTTTCCTTCTGGCCTACTGAAATGTTTATTAAATCATTCTTTCTGACCAACTATTTCTAGAATTGTCTCCTAGTACGCTAACAGGTATGTCTTGGGTCCTGGAATCTTTGAGTCTCATCAGGGACATGCAGTCAGGTCAGCTGTGGCGTGGAGCCTGAACGTGGCTGTGCAACAGTCACTCAGGGCATGCAGGAGCTCCATAAACAGCCAGAAACTCACCGCTTCCCAAAGCAGTTTTCTGAAATGCTTGAATCAATTTCATGGGTGGAGAAGCATGACTATTAGAAAGTTTTCTTTCTTTAATTGAGCTAAATGCTGTTTTCCTGTAATTTTCACCTGTTAACTCCACTTCTAACTGATGCACATTGTGAGGAAAGGAAGATAAAGATCACTGTTTTGTGACTATTCACTAATTATAAAGAGCCTCTCACCCTTTTGCCCACTAGCCCTTTCTGGGTAGAGATGTGCATATTCAACAGCCAGTCCTTAGAGAGAAAGTGTCAAATACCCACACCACCCTGTGTGCCTGCCTTTTCAACTCACTTAGTTCTGTAATAGACTAAAAACAATGTTCATGTAGCAGAATGAGTGGACATAGCACATGGTGGTTTAGATTCTGTGTTTGGCATAAGAGTCTTGAATTTGTCTCATTTCTGTGCCTTTTTAGCCTTGTGATGTTGGGAAAGGTTTTTAGGTGCATTGAGATTCCCTTGCCGCATATTTAAAGTGGGGTTAGAAAACCTACTGTGTGTGTTATTATTGGGGTGGGGGGGGAGCTGCGTAAAGAGAAGCAGAAAAGAACCAGAGAGTAGTTATTGGAAAAGCAGATAAATCCTTAGACGTCTCCTTGTTGCCAAACATTTGAACAATGCCCTGAATACCCACCAGCTCTCACAACCTCTGCAGACGCCCTGAGAGTTGTTTTTCTGGAGACAGTACATGGATCTCTGAAAGGAGATGTTAGGGAGAACCGAGTGTGAGGATGCAATAACAACCACTAAAGGGTTAAGTGACTAACACCAAATTTTAATGCTGAGGACCCCAACTCCTTTCCCTACAGACTCCCAGCACACTGGGAGGTAGATCTTTACCCTCTAGGCAAGAGATAGGAAAACTAGTCTCACAAGACTCTAGCCCCCTTAGAGGGAAAATCTTAAGATACTAACCTGACTGGTTCCCCAACAAATGACCCACACAAATGACTGTACACCGAGGCCCAAAGCTGACAAGTCCAACACTCTCTCCATTCTTTGCTGTCATAGGCAGACAGCAAAGAGTATACTACACAGCTGGGAAAAAACACTTCTAACGTGGAATGCTGAAATGAAAGATAATATGCTGTACCCATGAAACAAGAACAGGGTACTAAAAAAGAATACTGAGAACAAAAAAAAAAAAAAAAAGACTCTTGAGCATGAAAAACATACTAGCAAAAGTTAACAACTCAATGGTAATATTGGAAGCTAAAGTTGACAAAAATCTCCAAGGGAGAAAAGCAGAAGGGGGAGAGAGAAAGAGGAAGGTCAGAGCGCTGGTCCAGAGACTGCTCAGAAAGACAACAGAGAAAACACAGAGAGGATGTCATTCAAGTAAACTTCCTGAAGTTGCAGGTGTTCTAAATGAATTGCCTAATTAAAACTCAGTTGATCTCCATGAATGAAAATAGTCCCACTCAGGACATAAGGAAACATCTCAGAACCTGGGGATAAAGGTGAAATTCTATAATACTTCAAAGACAGTCAGGTTCTATACAGGTTCTATGCAACGAATAAGAATTAGAGTGGTTCTCACTCCTGAGCAGCAATACTGGAATCAAGACTTTAACCTTCAAAATTCTGAAGGAAAAGTATTTCCAACCTAGAATTCTTTTTCTAACCAATCTATCACTAAACATAAAGTAGAATACAGACATTTCTAGACCTTCCAGCTCTCAAAACATATCGCATGCATCCTTCTTCAAGAAACTGCTGGATATTGTGCTAGTCCAAAATGGGGGTAAGCCAAGAAAGAACGAGACGTGGGGTACAGGAAACAGGAGAGCCACCAACACAGGTGATCGTGCAGGAACAGCTTTCACACTGTTGCCTTGGCATGGGTCTGGATCAGCCAGGCCTGGACCTTGGGGTACAGTCTTGTCCTGACCATGCGCTGATGGACCTCCCATTCTCCTTTTCGTGTCCTGCTACTGCATGAGCTGAGAGTATTCATTTCACCCCCAAAAAGTTCTGTGATTGGAATTTCTCCTGAGGACTGGAGGTAGACCTTCAGCGCTTTGAAGCAGAAAATAGAAGCCACCTGCCCGGCTGCCCTTTTTACAGGAAGTCCAATGTAGTTTGGAAGGAATGTGTAAAACAAAACAAAATAGGAAGCTAAGTCATGGGTGCAAAAGTGGAAACATTAATTTCCCTGTTCTGTGATTTATGGTGATTATGTTTCAGTTTTTGTTTTTATTGTAAGTAGCAAGTCCAGAATAGTTGCAGAGACTTTAGAACTGGATTTCACCAGTTTGTGCTGCCTAATACATAAATGAATAGAAATAGACATTCAAGGAGAGAACAAAGGTTCTGTGTGCAAGGAAGTGTGGGAAACACTTGAATAAATTACCATGGGTTTCTCAGAACTCTCGAGGTGCTGGTGGACATTGTTCATCTCTTCTGGGCACTGTGCACACCCGCCTGACCTTATTTGACTTGCCAGCCCTGTGGTTACAGAACATCTCTTTTCACATCTTAACCCCAGTGTTCCCCAGAACACACTTTGGGACATTTAATATGACTTTACCTAAAAGGAAGCAAAATGTTATCAAATATTTTTTTATGGAAAATAAAGTTTCTTGGTGAAAAAAGGAATTTTTTTACGTATACTAGAGTGTTCCGGATCTAGGGTGGGTTGGATTTCAATCTTGACTGTATTTCACCATTGAGAGAATAAGCTTGGTCTCACAAGTTTGGGGTATTTGTAGTTGCTTGTTCGTTGTGCCATAATAGTCTCTGTGGGAAAATAAAAATGAAGGAATCCAAGTTACAGGTTCCTCTGAATTTTCTACTTTAAATGTCAAGTGAAAGTGCTGGCAGTCAGTGAATAGGATGTGATACTTCACTTTTGTGCTCGCGCTGAGTAAAAATATGTTGGGGGAGGCTGGAGAGTGAAGATGAATATTGATCATTCTATTTTAGTTTGATTTCCACGGTATTATTGATATATACTATCAATATATAACATCTTTAGGTTTCTCTGTTTCCTGCTTTGGGTTTACTGTGAACATTTAACATATAAAATTCTAATTATTTATGTTGTTAGCAATTTACATTGTAAGATGTGTTTAGCTGTTACTCTCATTCCTATGTTGCCTGATCTCTCACTTGTGTGTTTTCCTTCCAGCTGCCCCTGAGGGCACACCCTCCTTTTCTACTATACCTGTGTCATCTCCTGATTCAGCCTCTTCCGACAAGTCTGCTCGTCTCTTACCCCCCATTTTGGCCAGACCTTCCTTCTGGACTCTGTCCCACGCGCAGACTTCTTCGGCCTCCTTTAAAGAGAGCGAAAAGGCAGCCGGGGCCCATCCCCCCTGTATTCCTGGGGCCCCCGAGTTGTCTGATGAAGATAATGACGGCCTCAGCCTACTGGATATTCTTCCGGATAACTCCGATTCTACTAAACAGCCCAGTGGTGTGTCCAGCAGTGATTGGGTAGAGTTTCCCACCAAAAACATAGATCACTTTACTTCTATGTCCTGTTCCAGTTTTCAGACCACCAGAGGCCTACCTCGAGTGTCTGAAGCAAACTATTCCACTAACATTCTCCTAGGGGAGGTAAAAAATGCCGTAGTCAAGTTACACGAAGATCTGAGCACGGTGATCCGAGAACTTAACGTCATAAGTAGCCACCTGGTAAGCATGAGGGGGCACAGTCCACAGAGAAGCCAAGCTCTACCATTTTCCCGGCCGGCTGAGGGGAACTCAGATGAAACCTAACCATCTCCACAGCCATTTTTTGACCAAACTCACGTGGTTCCACTTCCCAAAGACAAAGCAGTTCACTAGTCATAGTTTCCCATTACTATGCCAAAAGTAGGATGATGGTTGCATTTTTTCCCTTGTCAGGGTTAGTAATATTTTTCAAACCACTGCATTCATTTGCGTGGTTTATTTTTTTAATGAGAAAAGGTATCACCTTTGACCATATTAGATATTGGGTCATTAGAAACTCAAGAGAATTTCATTCTTCCATGCTCAGTACTTTACGTCAAATACATTAAGCATTAATGAGCATTATGATAAGACCTCAGACAGCAAATGATTATTCTAGAACTTTTAGATAAGTATATGGCAGTAAGAAGTCATGTGTTTTTCGGCCTTCTGGGGCTCCATTGTTAGCAGCCTTTGTCTGGCTTAGGAGGATTGAGGGTACTGGTTTCACGTGTGTTCAGATCAAGTCTCAGGTTCTGCAAATCTTGTGGTTGCCGCAGTTGGCTGGAGTTGCGACGAGTGGACATGGAACAGGTGTTTTTATTGTTAATGTATATAGCCAAATATACTTAAATGCATACTCTTTTTTCTATTTTAGAATACAAATTAAAAAAAAAAAGAATACAAATTTGATGTTGTTCATCATATGTGTAGCTTCTTAATTCACTAAGACAGCCTTCACCTGTGTCTAATCTGTTGTTAAATCTCCCCATTGGGTTTTTAATTCTCTGTGTTTAAAGATAGTTAATGTATTTTGCATTTCTGTAATTATACTTGGTTCTTTTAAAATCTTCAGTAGTTTCATTGATTAGTATTTCTTGCAAATATTTTCAAGCATACTTTTTCTAGAAATACCAAGCAAGCTAGTATAGAATTCCTAATAAGAATAATAAGTAAACCAGAGCATATTCTTCCTAACCAGCTATTAAGAATGGTTTAATATATGCATTTAAGCTTGTAAATTTTCTTTTATGTAGCTGCAACCCACAAATTTTTAAAAATTGAGATATCATTCACATACAATAAATTTATCCCTATAAAGTATACAGTTCAGTGGTTTTATTATATTCACAGGGTTGTACAGTAATTACAACTACCTAATTCTAGAACATTTTCACCATCACAAAAAGAAACTCCATACCAGTGAGCAGCCACCCCACCCTGCTTTCCTCCAAGCCCCCACCACGCCTCCCTACTTTCTGTCTCCCCAACTTTGCCCATTCTGTATATTTCGTATAACTGGACTGTGTATCATGTGGCTCTCATGTGTAGCTTCTCTTACGTAGCATGTTTCTGAGGCTCATCTGTGTTGGAGCACATACGTGCTTTAGTCCTGTTTACGCCTGAGTAATGCTGCATTTTTGGCCACACCACATTCTGTTTAGCCAGGCATCAGTTGCTGGACAGTTGGGTTTTCATTTTGTGACTGTGTTGCTGTGAGTATTTGTGTGAGCATATGTTCTCTGTTCTCTTGGGTATACACCTTGGAGGAGAATTTCTGAATTATATGGGAACGCTTATATTTAACTTTTGGAGGAATCACCAAGGTGTTTTCTGAAGTGGCAGTAACATTTTACCACAAGTTTTGCTATGTAATATTGTCATTATACTTGGGCTCAAAATATGTTGTCATTCCTACCATGATGAAGTCTAGATCTCTATCTCCAAGCATATTGTCCTCCTCGTCTGGTAATTCTAGCGTCTTAACGTTTTTGCAGGTCTGTTTTTGTTACACGTTGCAGCCTGCTCATGATGTTGTGTCTCATGTACTTGAATGCCTCTGTGTGCTGGTCATGATGCTTGCAAAGTTATTTGCACGAGTAATGCAAAAATTTGTAGTTTCCATATGTCGGGTGCCTGATGCTGGGGCATCGTTGTACTGGCTAGGGGGTTCAAGGTATGGCTTGATGTTTTCTAGAAGACTCAGGTTAATTCTGAACCTAAACTCTTAAGGGATGTTTCATTCCAGCCACTCTCGCTGTGTGGATTTGGGTTCCACCTTGTAGGCACATCTCTTGTTTAGGTCCCCACCCGGGAGGGGCTTCTGTTCCTACCACCTTCCAAGGCCATCAGAATGAAAGTTGGCATCTTTTTAAGTCAACAAATGCCCTTTGGGGAAAGTGGTTTATGTGATCATTTACCTATCAGGTCTCTGTCTTTTTTGAGTACCTATTACTCATGAGACTCTGCCAGATCCTGGGGAAGGTAGTAGTGGTTAAAAGCAGGTGTAGTTCACATCCTAACAGAGCTTGAACTCTAGCGTGCTGGAAAAATTTGGTAGATTAATCACGTTGTTAAAAATGTAAAAGCCAAATAGTTCTGGGAAAGAACCATAGAATTGACTGGAGTAAGGGAAGTTTTACCTAATTAGGGAACTAACTTTGAGTTGAAATATTAATTGTAGGATTATTGAAATAAATGCCACTTAATGACCTGTTGGGCAAATAGCCTTCTTTATGAAATGAAATAAAACATAAAATATGGATGAAATCTTAACATCTCTTCAGTTGGCCTTCATCATACATCTGGGAGCTCCACCAGGGAGTTCTTAGGGCCCAGGAGGAGGCAGTAGCTCCTTTTTGTACTGGTTAAAATCTATTTTAATTGCACGTAGCTAACAGTTGAGATAGAAAATTCTGGAGTTGAGATAGAAAACTCTGGCGAGGCAGCACTCCGCCCTCCCGATCCCTGTCCTCAAAAGCGCTGCCTCAGGTATCCTGGCATGGACTCCAAGAAACCCACAAATGACTGAAGCAACAAAAACTACCCCTTGAGTAACTTACCTTCCATGCACGTGGTAACTTCAGATTTTAACGAGGTTTTACATAGCTCATATATTTTAATTCAACCATTTGTTAATTAGTATAATTAGCAAGCACTTATTTGAGTTTCTATTTAGCCAACTCCATTAAATGAATAGAATAAACTTGGCTTAAATTAAGAGTGGGTATATTCTGATTGACTTTGTAATTATCTCAGATTAAAAATACTTCATTAGATGTTATTCTCTTAAGTATTTTATTTGGAACTGAGAGATCTTATTATAAGGCTATTATAAAAATATTTTACCGTTTACTTACTTGTCAAACTGTTCATGTGTTCATTCTTTAAATATTTATTGAGCCCCCACTGGGAGCAGGCACTTGGCTAGACCTGGGCCCGCGGCCGTGTGCAGGGGGACCTGCTTCTGTCATCGGTTGCAGTTAGTGGAGCTGCAGATCGAAAAGAGGGTAATGGAGAGGGTAATGGGTGAGCCCTAGGACTTGGGGGAGCACAGTGTGCCTTCAGAGGGACTGGCCACGAGAGAAGCCAGCCCTGGTTGGGGTCTGGATGGCTTCCTGGAGGGCGTGAAGCCCAAACCAACAGCAGTCCGCCGAGCAAAGGGAGTAAGGGCAGGAGGGAATTTTCTAGACAGAAAACAGCACTTAGGAAAGCTGGGGTGAGTCTGAGACAGGCTGGGCAAGACCCACGGGTCAGGAATGTGAGCACTTTCTGCAGAGACACAGCCCGCCACGGCGAGTGGCATTTACAGACTCGTGACAGAAAGACTGAGTGACGAGTAGACAGAGTCTGGTGAAAAGGAACGTGGGGGCGGAAGGGCTTCCAAAATCCATGCATGAACTGGTATAAATAGGCTTTCCGAAGGGGCTGGGGCGACCGTGGTGACGCACCACCCCCCTCCCGTGAGTTCGTGGTGACAGTGGCTGTCTCCCAGGTGCTGTTGGGCTAGGAAGGGGCGGCGGGGGGCAGGCGGGGCGTCAGCGTGAGCACCCCACGACTGCCTGTCCACGTTCCACTTTATTTTTCATAGAGTGGATTCCGAGATGTGATAAAAGGTTTAGCTTTGTGGAATTGAGAGGTTTTTACTTCTTGTGGAATGCCAAGTGATTTGAGGCGGCCGGGCGTATTCCTGCTAAGCCAGCGTATATGTGCCACCTTCTACCGGCGGGCAGGCTCAGGGCAGAGTCAGTTGGCTCCGGAGAAACTAGGTGATTTTGTTTGGTCATTTTGAATGCTGTTTTCCCACCGACAGTGCAGAAACTTCTCAGAGATATGGTAATTATTGCAGAATGATGGCTTCAGGCATCCGTAGCTGCTCAAACAGTAAAATTCCATTATAAAATATCACGATCTGTGAGCTCAGTTGTGCTGCAACTGAGAGCGCGTCCCCGAGAGTGAGGACGCGACCTTCTTGTCCTAACAGAGCAGAAGTGAAGTTCTAGGTGATTCAGGACAAACGGGGACAGGGCAGGAGACAGGAAGGGACCCGGGTCGCCCAAGAATTGCAGTTGGTGGTGGTTCTTTATGGCTGACATTTATTTGGGCGCTAATAAAGTTCTCACCTCTCATTCTCTCGAGAACCCCGCCAGGGTGGCGCTAGCTTGCCACGGTGCGCATGCGAAACAAGCTAAGAAAAGCTAAGGAACTTGGCCAGGGCCACACAGGGTCTTGTGCCCGCGTGGCCACCCAGCCTCGCAACTGGGGGGCGGGGTGGGGCGGGCAGGTACCAGCAGGCACGCTTCACCTGGGGTGGTGAAAGAGGGTGCGACCCCCACCCCCACCCCCAGGAGCCCTTTGCGCTCCACTCCTTGGGGTTGGGGGCGGCAGGAGGGAACAAGCGCTGCATGAGGCTTTGCCTGTGGCCAGACACGGCCTCTGCGCTCTCACTCGCTGGCAGCCCCCAAGGGCGGGCGGCACTACCCCCTTAGATGCAGGGGGGCTGTGTCTGCAGCAAGGAGCGAAAGGCCCCTCCGCACCTTCGCCTGCGGCCGGGAGGCCAGGTTGGTGGTGCTTCCTGCTCATTCACCCCTAAAGGCTTCCCGGCTCCGTCTGGTGCGATGCCCTCCCTCCCGGGTGCGTCCTGAGGCACTGGAGCAAGTGGCACTTGGCAAACACGGACTGTCCCTGTCAGCCTCTGTCAGCCTCGTGGCTCGCGGGAGTTAGGCGGCTGGGGCCGGGCCTCAGAGAGGCTGGGTGCCTGGCGCAGGGTCCCTCAGCTCTGAGCCAGGCTGGGAGCACCCCCCAACCCCCATCTGAAGCAGGAGGCGTCCTCTCCCGTGGGGTGGGGGTGGGGACTTCTAACGCCGGGGAGGGGTCGGGACTCTAACCAGCTGTCAAAACGCAGTATGGAGCCTCTGCCCTTGGAATTGCCTTTACAGTCTTCATCTTCTAGATCAGCTTTGTTAAGCCATTAACATATTTCATCATCTCTAATCTATGGAAATGAGTGTTTTCCTGTGGCTCATTACTCCCCGCTTCTCCCCTTAAAATGCCAAAGTTATTGGAAACAATATTCTCCAAAGACCAGAGCACCCGCGTTCCCGAGCTGAGCCCCGGGGGGCGGCGCTGCTCACTCCAGCTTGTCTAGACACCCTAAATGACGGCTGGGAGCGGGTGGATTTCGATGACTGACCCGCGGAGGCTGGTGGCCGAGCCAGGCCTGTCCCGGGCCGCCC